TCCCTGTACAGCTCACTCTGAATGGCAATTTCACCTTCTTCTATTAATACCAGCAGAAGTTCATCCCAAGAAAGAGGAAATCATCACATTTTCCAATCACATCAAGTTAAGACGTTTTGTTCCTAACAGTCATGTTCAGGAAAGCTGCATGAACATACATGTACTTGGCACCCAAAGGTGGTGTGTTTTTTTTTTTTTCCCAGCTCAGTTCCTTTCCCTACTCCCCTCCACCCCAGTAAGCACCTGCAAATTTGACCCAACTTAAGCTCCAATTCTGCACATGCTCTTACCGAAATAGAAGCATCTTCAGCCTTTCTTGTACAGTTATGGGCACCAACTACCACCATTTGCAACACTTTGGTACTCAAGCTCTTAAATTTCAATGGGCATGTAAATTAGAATAAGTAAAATGCTCAAGACTCCATGTAAACTTACAAAACTATCCAAGAAAACCCAGTTCACAATAAAAAACTAACAAACAGGTGCTGCTCTTAAGGAATATCCAGAGTTCCACTTTAGCATCTCAAAGCAGAGTAACACTCTGCTACTTATGACCAAGTGACTACTCTTGAAATCCTGATTATTACACAGATTACTGCACTGAAAAAGTAATTAACAAGACTAGCATTGCTATCAAGAAATGCATCCCAACGCAAAGATCATTTACAGTCCATAGTTTATAAAAACTCTCATGAGAACCAATGCAGAGGTTCCATGCAGGATGTTTTACCCCCTGTCACTGAAACATCCTTTTTATTTTGGGCTAGAAGCACCAACATCCTCCTTTCAGCACCTGCCTGACAGAGCTGACGCCTTGCTGACCCTGGCCAGTTTTATTCCTTGCCAGTTCCATTCTTCAGTTAATTAGAGTGTTAAACATGAAAAAGTTTTCTTCTGTGTAGTAGAAGCTGACAGTATCCTTGACAGCGCTCATTAGACTAACGCTGGGAATTGGCAAAAGAGATGGACACCATAATTTAAAAAAAAAAAAAATTAAAGGTTTTTAAATTTAAAGGTTTCTAGAGAATTAAGGAAGCAGCAGTTTGTTTTAAACTCTTATGTCCTGCCTCCCACAATCACCGAGTACTTCCAAGTTTTTCCTTCTTGTGAGAGGGATATTTAGACAGGAAAAAAAAAAAAAAAAAAAAAAAAAAATATTCAAACCTTGTGTCACTGGACGCTGCTTTAAATCATGCTCTAACATTTGTGCTACACACAAAACCTACCACCCTCAAAAGTTAATGGGAAATCTCCATAGCAACGTTTATTAGGAAGGCAACAAATTGGGGAATTAAGGTATAGTGGAAGAAAGTGTATTAAAAAAAAAAAAGTTAAACAAGGTACATTTTAATGTCATCATCTGAATCTGAGAACTTGTTAAATTACTGAAATTATCTTTTCAGTCCAACTGATAAGGAGGCTCACTAGAAAGCCTTTAAAGCCCTGCCATCAATTCCTTAAAGCAGGGCACAATCGTGACATGTATGAATCCTACACTTAAAAACAGATGGTTACGCAGCTGCCAGCTTCTTGTCATACCCAGTAAAAATAATAATAAAAGGACAAAGAGCTCTTTCTATCTGCCCCAATTGAACTGGATCTTGCTTTCTTCAAAGCTCTACCTTTGGCCTTTACTCGACAGTGCAATTAATTAAACAGCTGAAAACGAGGCAAGCAGAGGTCAGCTCTGTGCTGCCAACATCCTCCTTCACCCACAACGCCCCGGCGCTGCTCACACGGTGCAGGGCTCCACGCGTTGCTCTTCACACAGCAACCTCAGACACAAGCGTGCTGCTGGGCTCCTTCTCCATCCAAGCCAGACTGTAATTACAGGTGACTGGCAGCTCCTTCACCAAAAACTCTTCTCTAGAAGTTAAGGGCTCAAATACAATTAAGTGCATTAAATATTTAATTTTTATAAGGAGCTGCATCATTTGAAAATATGTTTAATTATTGTAAGGAGCTGCATCATTTGAAAATAAGGTGTCTTTTTTATTATAAGGAACTGCACCATTAAGGTCTTCTTTTATTATAAGGAACAGTATCATTTTAAAATGGGTTTTGTTTCAGTTAACCTGAAAATGCCTGGGTCCATATGTATCAGAGCCACGTGAAACCCACTACAAGGAGAGCACAGAGGCTGAGGGCAGTGGAGTGGTTTTAAGCTGTTCTGATTCATTTTGCTGCATTTCCTTCCAGGAAGAAGATTAAGTAAGAGAAGGGGTATTTCTAGAACTTAAGCAGCTTTACAGGAAAAGTTAGGTGTAGACCCTCACAAGGTGCTCTTCAAAGGGAAAGGAAAGCATTTGCAGTCTTTTTAGCTTCTTTATTACATGAAAAGCTGTTTGCTCATCTCAGAGCAACAAATCATGCACACTTTAAAGTGTTCCTTGTCACTGGCTTCTCATTTTGCCAAACTTCAGTTGCAGATTTTTATCTAAGCTTTCATGCTGAGCTTTCTGGGAAGTTTAATTGTAAACACAGTAAAAAACCTGGAAATTGCCCCTTTCTTTATTTCCCAGGGCAAAAAGGTTTGTATTTTTCTTCTTAACTTATGATAACAATCATGTCTTTCCTGCTACATTTTGTTAGAGTGCTATGTACTAATAGTGAGACTAATATCACAAGGTAAAAATATGGGCAAGGAGAAATGTGCTAGACTTTAATGGCTACTTAATTCAAGGCATTTTGAAAGTTTTATTGTACCACCACAAAGAATCAGGACATTATTTACAGCTGAGTTCAGATTCTTGAAAAAAAAAAAAAACAACCAAACCCAACCTAAATTCCCCTTCCTTATGCAGAGCACCAAAGTTAAACACACACCTTCTTGTATCTAAAAGATATATAACTGACATTTTTAAAGTTCACTGAAGAGTTGCATTACTTTACCAGAAACACTACCAATTAAATCTCAACGTTGTCAGTAACTGGCATGACAGACGGTTTCAAGCGTCTATAAATACCCTGGAGGAGTTCAGTCATCGGAACAGAAGTTAAAGAAATAAAACTCCTAAATATAAAAAAAACACTTTTGGTGCTCACAGAAGCTGCACAGTTGTTTGGACACACATATTAAATAAAGCTTTGGTACATTTGTAGCAGCCTCCAAGCACTGCTACCGTAAATAACTGGTACCCATCAAGTCTTGCACCCAGTTTACCCGGCTTGGCGTGACGTTTCCTGGGGACACAGGCAGGTTTCCAGGGGCTGCTGCACCCACCACAGCACTGCCATCGGTGAACTTTCCCTTCCCTCGTTCTACCCACCAGCATGGCCTTATAAAACTAAATTTCACCACCAGCAACACTGGTGCTATGGATTTAGCAAGGTTAGAAAATAAGAGGGGGCGGGGGGGGCGAAGTTTTTACGGAGAGATAACCCATGTGATCCAGGAGCAAACACTCCTTCCTGGACCACATCTGAACTCTCACTTCCAGAAATCAGAGCAGCGTTCTTTGAACTGGAATAGGACAGACATACAGAACAAATACCTTACTCAGATTAATTGTATGAGCCAGTAAGGAACTTTCCAAGCAACCCACATGCAAACTTACCCCTTGGCTTCCTTGAAACTGGATTACTGGTTTTGATGTCACAGCATCCTACAAAAACAAGTGGAAAAAGAAAAGATTACCTTAGAGAAATTGAAAGCTCCAACACTCACTGCCAAAATATACTCAGCTTGATTTTTCACCTATACTTTTTTTTTTTTTTAAAAAAAGGAAAAACATTCAGGGAAGTATACAGAATTCCAACCAATACAAAACCTCCTGAAACAGCAGGTTGTATGTAGGAAAGGGATAATAAAACTACAACATCACAAACGGTACCCTTACTTCAGAAAAAGCACAGCTCTGGGATGATACGCAGCTGGGCTGTGCTTACTTTCTTCCTGACCCCTAAACCACATTTCAGGCACAGAATAGCTTAGCTGTGGATCTCTGGAGCTTATGTAAGTCTTGAGTTAAACAGTGGATATTTGAGGGGAAAATTTATTACAGCTCTAAGTCCGAGAACACGCTAAGCAAATTTTTTCCAATAGAAAGCTGGCAATTCATTGGGAAAGCAAACTGCAACTTCATTGCAAAATACTGTTGTTATGTTGCCCATTTCAACAATCGGCCTCTTCCTCCACACTGATTCGCTTACATTTCAAGTAGTCGTATCCCTACTAGCTCTAAAAGCCTTTAAATCTGCTCAAGACAGAAATAACACTGAATTTCAGCCTTTTTGCACTGGGATCGCAATTTTTGCTTTGCTGTGATTTTACAGAGATCAGGAAGGCTTTAGAATTCAAACTCTCACCTGAGGTTTTAACTACAGGGAAAGAAATAGCATATGCAATCCAAACCACACTAAGTTTTTACTTCTTATGTTTCAGAACTGTGGCTTGTATTGGTTTTATTTCTTAAGTCACACAAAACATTCCAAGACACACTAAAAGGACAGGAGTTGTGCTCCACAGGGTGAAAAAAACATGCTGCGTGTGGGATGCCACTGTGAAGCCTTCCAAAGGGAGAGAAGAGTTTACAAATAGGTGGAAAGTCATTTAGAAGTGAACACGCTGCCACATCAGGAGACACATTTCAATGGGAAAAACGCCAAGAAGAGTTTAAAAGTCCAAACGGCGCATTTGTATCTTTTTTTTTTTTTCATCACAGTACCTGCATCTCCCAGCATCGTAAAGAATCACATGGACTCCAAGGGATTACAGAAATACACGTTTACGTTTAGCAGCAAAGAGTTAACAGCCTGAAAGCCCATTAAGTTTATCATCTCTCATAAAAACCTTTCCAAATGCTTTCAGCCCAGGAGTGAAGAATCTAAGCCACAATACGCTGACATTAACAAAAAAAAAATCACTAGCAAGAAAATATCCTTCTAGCACAGATGAATAAGCTCATACCAAGACACAGTCTTCAGAGCTTTTTAAGAGCCCATCCAATACAATTTAACAGAGCTGCATCACACCCTAGATTGTTACGAGATATTTATGACAGTGAGTAAAGCAAGAATATGCTTGAAGCTGACAGCACTCGCTCAGTGTTGTGTAGCGAGTTTTATAGACCCGAAACAACCTTTATAAAGAAACAATAAACAACATCTTGCTCTTCATACAGAGATCACTGAATTCCTTGAGTGCCACGACACTGCATACCACAGCACACTGTTCATAGACAGACTGGCCAGCTTTTTGTTCACGGTGTCAGCATGTACTGTGCAATGTGTCCAGAAATTCATACGAACATACTTGAGCAAACAAGAATTTGAAACATTAAAAATATCTGGATATATTAAAAAAAAAAATCGATGTGGATCTTGTACAGCTAATTACAGATTTGTGAAGTTCTGCAATTAATTTTGGAAAATTACTTAAGGGGAATAAAAAGGTAATACGAAGCACGTAAACAGAATAACGAGGCAGTAACAATACAAAAGTACTGTTACACAAATCAGGACAAGCTTTAATTACAGAACTTATAAATTCCCTCATCTGCATACAGAATGGTTTGAAGTTCAATGTGTAATCTCAAACTTAAAAATGAGCATTCGTGCGAGTTAAATGGAAAGTTTTAGTTTTATTTCCTTGAAGCCCTAAAATACAGTATTTTGAGGTGCCTGGGGGCTGCTGGGTTTGTGATCTGCCATGTAGGATTATCAGCGTGATAACTCCTCAGAAGTGATGGCAGGGAAGAGCTGGATATTGGGGAGTCGTTGCACTGCCTGAGCTCCCCTTTTAGGGGGAAAAGGGGAAGGCTCTTGGCTTCTCAGCAACATCACCCCTGTACCCACACAGGCATCGCCTCCCTTCTGCTGATGCCCAATTCCTTGGCTACAGGTCATTTGAGGATGCTCACGTGCACACCCTAACCTAATTAAGGATATGAATTTAAGTACTTTTATTAAATTCCTACATGGACACCTTCATTCAGAATAAGAGCAAACAGATGAATTGAGCTAAACCAAATTAAAACATATTTCAATTTATACCTTCAGTTTATTTAATTTTCCTGAATGTTCTTGTATGGACAAACCCCATTAAACAGCTCTTGCTACCACTTCCAAAATCACTTCATCATCTCCTAAAGTCACCTAATTCTTCTTCCTTAGTGATGCCAAGATGTTCACTAACTCTGTTACAATTACCTAGGAATGACATCCCATCCACCTCTTGTGGGAACAAGGTCCTTCCCTCTTTCTGCCTTTCCTTCCAATTAAAACAAGTTATCTCCTCAGCCCTAGGACAGGAGTCTGCCTTCTCCAGCATACACCAACTTACAGGGTTCAGTAAATCTTTGGTAAATCAAGGATGCTGATGAAACCTCACCTTTGTGTTCAATTAAGAAGCAAAACAAAGATCTGTCCGAGCAACTGGGCCACCTGCACACCCTGATCTTCCAGTTAATAAGTTCTAGCTTTAGTCCTCCATGAGACTCACTACATTTAAGAGCTACTAGAAGCTGATTGAGATAAAAACAAAAATTGAAGAAAACAGCTCAAGCATTTTAAACCAGGTTTGCTGCTGCTGCCAGGTACCAGATGTTCACCTCTGCAGTTCACAGACTCATCCGTAACGGTGGCAGCGCTGCTGAAGATGTCCAAGCATGAATGAGCACGATTGCTCTGACGTGTGGGAACAGAGAACGAGCGACTGCCATGCAAGAACAGAGCATTTCTGAACTCTGTGTACACTAAGAGCAAGCAAAGCCCCTTCAAACACACCTGAGAGGCTGTCTGCTCCGTGCTCACTATTGTTTCCACAGAAGGCTTCCTGACGCAGAACTGAAAGGTCAGCAAATCATTACCACGTCTTCACTGTTTGCTAGTTCCTACAATGGATCTTTAAGAAAATGCGTCAAGCTTCCTCAGCAAGAGAAAATGAACTGTTTTAATCAAGTCCCTCCTGCAGTCGAACTCAGCAATGCCCCAAAGCTCTACAGGAATAACTGCCAAAAGGAACATCCAAATGGTAACTGCGGGGCTGTACTTCTGGGATCTACCCAAATTTAAACTGCCAGCTTCACCGGACCTACCCGACTTGCAAAGAGACCCTCAAAAGGAGCCTGAGCAGACCCCAGCTATGTCAGGTGACAACCCAGCATTTTCCTCCATAAAAACTCACTGGTTTGCCATCTGGAAAGCGCCTTTCTGTACTTCTGTGCCCAGTGCGCTGCCTTCCACAGCTCCTGCTGTACTCAGGCATGGTGGAGAAATAAAGCAGCAAGTGTTCAAACACTAAAGCCCTACCCTGGGACGCCAACATGAATCAAACCCCACAAACTCAAGTGCTTTTTGTCAGATGGTCCTCCAGATACCGTAAGATTATTTCAGAAGTCATGAGATTAAACCAAAATACCCAAAACTCAGCCCCAAAGCTCCCACAAAACATTTGTCTTTTATTAGCATGGTATTATGCTCATCTTCATCCTCTAGCTTCCCCAGGCTAAACAAGAGCTAGTAACCCTTAATACATACTCCAAAAGCTGACAGAGGCAGTAGCAACGCACAAACAGGTCCTCACACTTAAATACTCCAGATCTGGCACGTGGAAGCTTGAGTAAAGAGCAGGAAGAACACTAAAGTGTCAATAAAACACACAAAAACTGAATGTAAAACTAATAAAATACTTCATCAAGTATCATCAAAGCTGTCTTGAGGTTTTAAAAAAATGTTTAGTGGAAAAGCTGGATGGGATATTCCTACACATGACCAGAAAGGACATTTGAAATCCTCAGGTCAGGTAACCAGTCGGAAACCTCCCCGTTTCTTCAGGGAAATACAGATAAATAAGAATATGTTGTTTCGAGAAGTTCTGTTATGCATTTACTGGAATTTATACTGGAGGCAGTGTTATATGGAAAATATTTGCCTATACTTAGTATTGGTGTATTTGTCTGTTTTCTTGAATGTTAAGAGTCACAAATGCTGAGCAAACAGAGCAAATGAAAGCTTGTTCTTATTTATGTTGGAACAAGGGAATTATTTTCAGAATTTAAAGCTGCTTGCAAACATTTAAAATTAGTAGCAAGAATTCCAATAAATGCAGAGAAATTACAAAATCCTGGTAACCCCAGGGCATTAACGGGACATTTTGAACTGGCACATGCAGTTCCAGTCAGGTAAAGCTATGGTGCCTCAGAAGCCAGTTACAAAAAAAGAGAATAAACAGAAATCAATTGATTCATAAACTTCAGACTCACTAACACCCCTAACTCAAAGTTCCCTCTTTAATTCTTTGGTTATGACTAGCTTATGTCTCTTTTGCCCACGCAGCTTGGTCCAAATATAGGCATACTCCCTCCCCTACTTCCCTCTGGCTTCTCAGCACAACTGGGCAAAGGATGAAAAGGAAGAAAAAAAAAAAAAAGGTCAGATCCCAATCTGGGAGGATACTCGGTTCAAGCAGACCTGGATACTTGAGGAGTCCTGCAGACCCAAACACAACTCACCAATTTAGATTTCCACTTACATTTTCATTTTAAACACACCACACAGACTTTGCGAAGTAAAACAGAGAGCAAAACCAAAGCAAATATATCCACTGTCTCCTTGTGACAGACTCACAAGAGACACCTCAGAGTCCCCAAGTTCATTAGTAGCAAGATATATAAATCCCAGGGGAAATAAATACCTTTGAACATACCCACAACTTCAAGTGATTCTGTGTGAAGTTTACTGGCAGTCAATTAGCCAAAGCTGGCCCAAGAGAGAACCACTGCATATTAGGTAGAGACAAAAAGACTTCTCCCAAGACATTCCACTATTTCAAGGCTTATATTTACCTCCTACCAGAAACACAGCAGTAAAAAGCCTACTGAATATTCTTTTTTTATGTCACATCCTATTACTTACGGAATTAAAATACCATCTCCCTGCAACACAATTTCCATCTGCAATTTAAGGCCTCCCAACAATCTCATTTGAAGTTGAGGACACTAACAGACTGCAGATGGGATCAAGTCTGCTGAGACCTGAAAATTATAGATCCTATATAATTTTTCTTGAACTAAACTACAAAGCCTTCCAGACCTTTTTATACTACACATACCTCAGAGACAAGCTACTGGCTTCACTACTCAAATACAACGTTTCCAGTAAAAGTGTCTTGGAAATTCCATGTAAATCCACAGCTACTGAAGCAAAAGTTTAGCCTTCTACTCAAGAGAGGTGCCAGAAGCCACAGCGACAATGGCCAGCTGCTGAGGTGAGAAACAGCCACAGGGATGCTCCTGGAGGACTCAGGGGTCCCCCCTCATCCTTGCAGAGGTAGAGATCAGCCCCCGCAAACCCCACTGTGCACTCTGTGCAGGAGCTCCTTGGGCAGCAATCCCCAAATTAACCAGTGTACGCGTTCGTTCACTCCTCCTCTCTGAGATTACCCCGTTCATTACTTTGATGAGTGAAGTGCTGTCAAAGAACAAAACCACATCTGCCTGCTGGGCCCAGTTCTCCACTCCTCTACCCCATTTTCTTCTCCCCAACATTTAAATATTTCTTTGGGGCAGAAGCAAGTACTTGAGCTTTTAATATAAGTATTTCTTAAAGATGTGGGTTTGATAAAGGTTTAGGAGCTGGAGACTTACCAGTTACTATAAACTGTAGCTTGTATTTATTATAACTTATCATTTTCTTAATATGTATTAATAAATGCATATTATCACTGTAATAT